GAGTCCAAAACAATTTAGTGCAAAATATCAGAGCATGATGGTTTTATTCGTTCAAGATTAGTGGTTAGAAGACAAGTGGATGGAATAGTCCTGACTCTCGTGATGGATGATGCAGCCCATCGTATTCGGAGAAGAGAAAGAAAGAACTTTTTCCTCCATTCTGACGATATTAATGTGATAAATATGAAAACCAAACAATCGTATCATCTTGCAGTAGGAAAAAAAATCACAATTGTGCATAAATTCATAGGTATCAAGAGTGGACGCTGTGATTTTATGTCGTTCGCACGACAATGAACTTCACGTTCGGACGCAATGAGGATAGACGAAAACAGATCTGTTTAGGTCATCGTTTCAGGATATCGCAAACTTGAATGATGTAGTGATCAGCTTTTGATGGGAAATCAAGGAGTGGGTAACAGTTGGCAGGTAATAGGAATGCGGCAAGTAATTTCTCAGACTTTGAAAAATTTGTTAAAAAAATGCTTTGAATAAAATGAGGTAAGGTTCTCGAATAGATGAAATCTCAACAAAAAAAACTACCCAAACTATTGATTTCTCAAAACTTCCTCGACAGAATGTAATTCAGGTGTAGTTTATGGTCACCCGGGAAGAGAAAACCCCCTTCCTCATGATTTTTTATAATTTTAAACCTCGTCTGCTATTTGCTCCTCCCTTGCTGTACTCCGAAAAGAGTCTCAAACATCACCCAACAACAATTCATGGAGCGATTCTGGATCAATTCAATGGATTTTTGAAGCAAAAGGTAAGATTTCTTTCTTAATTTCTAAGCGATATCTATATCCCGAGCTGAGTTATTGATGCAATTCGAAGCGTGACACGTTTCTGGGTCATTTCGAAAATAGATAATAGGCTCCCCTCCCCGAAAAACCTGAAAATGAGAATATTTGAATCTTTGCATTTAAAGGAGTAGACAGACAAACAGACATCTTGAGAACAATTTCCTATTTCAGGCTGCGAGATGATGGAGCAACTCTGGAGCTGACTGTTTTGGTGTATGTAATGTACGCCCAAGAGTATCCACGTTTGGATGGAAAGCAGTGGCTGGTCGTGGACTATATGGATAGCGTTGCATACGTGGAGCCCCGGAAAATGGGTGGAAACATGTTTGGAGAAGTGATTATCTCCTACTTTTTGTATATGTCACGTTTTGGGTACACGAATGTACATCTGTTTGCCGATCCTCCTGTCCAAAACGACGACTACATATTCCACATCCATCCTGCTTTACAAGTCTACAACAAGGCGGATTCCCTTATTTTTTTCGTTTTTAAATTTATCAGAAATAAAAGGTTGTTGATAAAATTTTATTGTTTTTTTTTTCATGTTTTTATTGGGACTCATATGGAATGAATCGGCCCAGAACGGTCAAAATTGATTAGCAATTAACCGGGTTGTAGCCTGAATTTTTTAACAAACCTCACATAACAGCTTTTCATTTCAAGAAAACAATCATTTCCCAATTCGGTGAATCTCACCACGAAGCGAAGCGAGTCCCATTTTGAAACAAGTGGTTCATTATGTACAAATTTTTCTTCATTTCGGAGTATTCCTAGAGTGATAACACTATAGGAAGGACTATAAGTGACAGGAAAGACGTTCCGGTCAGGCATCTACCATAAGATAACAGTTTTAATTTGATATTACCTGTAAGTTAAAAAAAATTGGACTATGGCAAGGAATTTATTTTTCAGGGTCTCTAGAGAGTTTTTTTTGCAAAATCTGAAAAAAAAAACACAAAACAAAAAATTGATTCTTTAAGTTTATTCATGAAGTGAGATCGAGAAAAAATTGTGTAGTACAATTGAATTGTCTTATGTAGTATGTTGAAACATCGAACATTTCGAACAAAAACAAACCAAATTAATATTCACGATTCAGAATCAATTCTTTGCTTTTTTAGCAGCCTTTCCAGCGTTTCCCGTCGCTTTTCGTTTCCGTGTAGCAGATTCTCCGGTGAAACATGGGTCTTGCGTTATCTCCCCAATCGTAATCCTTTGTCCAGGTTCTTCGCACAACATCTTTTTGAGGAGAGCTTCAAAAATTTAATATATGTATGGAAAAAAGGTAACAAAACTTACCAATTGTCACCGGTTTGAACTTATAGCAGAAATCTGCTCTTGTCTGTTTTCCTCCCTTGG